CTGTCTCTTCTTTCATTCAAAACGAGATTTTCCTGGTTCTTAGTATGTAGCGACTTTTTGTTTTTTGTTTTTTTTTTAATTGAAACCCGAACATCTTGGGTATTCTGGAACCTATTTAAATCTTCTGTTTTAGCTGGTTCCTTTGACACTGCCCCAGCAGGTCCCTGCTTTATTACTGCCAGGTGGAAGTAGAGTCTAGGTTTCCCACTTGGCTTCTGTTGACACCTGAGATGAAGAGAAGCTCCTCATTACTACTGGGCAAGGGTATGGATTCTGGCCACTCAGTAGGCCTCTGCTGATATCACCTTGGTTGTGAAGGGGCCAAGCTCCTTACTACTGGGAAGTGGTAAAAGTTGTGATTTTCCTCCACAAGGCATCACTCGAATGGGGAGGAAAAGGAGCACCTCCTTACTGTCAGATGGGAGTTGAAGGCCAGGCTCTCCATGCGATCTCTAGTGACAGTGAATCAAGAAACCAAGAGAATGGCAGTGGGAAGGTTTGTTACTGCCCAACATAGATGAAACTCCTGGTTAGCTACTCAGCCTTCTCTGAAATCACACTGGTGCAGGGTTGGAGAACTCTGTTACAACTTGCTGAGGGTAGAAGTTTAGGATCCATACCAGCCTTGGCTGGCATGAGTTGGGGCAGGGGCCAAAGTCTTTCCATGGTGTTTGGCTAGAGCAGAGCAGTTATGGTATAAAAGTTTATGCCTTACTAGGCTGTCTTTTTCCTGGTCTTTTGATTAGAAACAGCAGGTTTTTTAGTTTGTGCCTATTGTTGTTTCCAGGCTGCCAACTTCTTCAACTCCAAGTGTGGGATACATGAAGCAAAAAGAAAACTCAAGGAACTTGCCCCATGTCATTCCTTGATTCCTGAGGTACCTAGGCTTTTTGCTTTGTCTCCACTTTTCAGAGTCTTATGTTTGTTTTATATGTAATGTTCAAGATTTTCAGTTGCTTTAGAAGAGGGAATAGGGAAATGGTACATCTATTCCATTTTCATGATAGTAGAAGTCTCCACTTTCTAAATTGGTTCCCTTGTGTCCAACCACACTAATTCCTGGAAAAATGAGGGTAGAGTCTGTGGAAGAGATTTTTCTTTATGTAATGCTTACAAATTTGGACCACTGAGCCAACCATATAACAATGTCCAAATCACCTATTAAATCAGGGTGTATGTCTTATGATACAAACCTGTGTACAATAAACACTTGAAATGCTTATGATTTTATAAATACTTATAAATTTAACAATTTTCCATTCAAAATTTTAAAGTAATCATTAAATTATGCTACTTATGAAACAAAGTCTTTTACATAATCTAATCTTTCCAAAGATACTGTATGGAACTATATAGCTAAACCCATTTCAGACTTTTTCATAATAAACAGATATTTAAATGTACTTACCCAATAATAGAATAATAGTATCCTAATAGAAAATGGCCTAGAAAAGTGCCTATCAGAGTAGGCAACCCATAAGTATGTTAAATGACAAAAGATACCCATAAAATATAATGTCTAAAATTTTACTGTTAAATAGAAAAATACCTCCCCTGTTCATGTCAAACATATGAGGTTCTATTATTTTTGTTTAGTTTGTGAAACAGGCTTTCATAATTAACCAAAAAATTATGTTTCTAATCCATATGTATCATTAGAATGTATTATGTATTTTGGACTAACTTCTCGATAATGCATTCTCAAATGTGCCTAGCAGTATGCAGATTCAAGGTTTCTTTGAGTATAAAATTCAGAAAGACTGATTTTATATAGACAGTTCTAATCAGTGAAAATAAAAGGTTCTGATTCTCTAATAAATCATTAAGAACAACATTTTTTAAAAGACTAATACAAGCAATGTTTAGCTGATATTAATTTTTTAGGAATAAAACAACAGGAAATTAAAACATGTATTTTAGTATTCCCACTCCCCTCAACATCCCAAGGACATAAATGTTAACGTAACAAAGTAGTAACTGTCCTTAAATCACCTTACTCTAATGCAGCGCTCCCCAAAACCTGTTCCTCAGAATCCAAGTGTCCCTTGAAATATTAACAGATGTCCCACAGAGAAAGACATTGCTAGGTTAAACAGAGTTAAACATATTTCTCTACTACCAGAATCCTCAGGGCATTTTAAATAAAATATGCAGTACAAACTTCACAAAGAGGATTATAGTTAGTTTCCCAAATTTAATCAAAGAAGACTTCTCCTGAACATCTGTTATATACCACTGGAGTATAGTACTGAACAAATTCAATCTGAGAGATAGAGAATGGCAGAAGAACCCTTAAATACTGATGCCTTACTTGGCCAGGTAAAATGAAGACCAGAAATTTAATAAATAACATAGTTCTAATAACTAAAAAATAATTCAATACGAAAAATATTATGATGAAAAGTATTTTTTTTTAATTGCAGGCAACTTCTAGTACGCATTGAAAAAAGTCTTTTATCAATCTTGCTGAAAACTACAATAAAAACTGATCATAGATTTTATAAAGATAAATTACCTAAGTGTTAATTTCATTTGTATTCTAATCTTTATTATTCTCAAGTAATTTATTTGAACATGCAGATAAAATAAGTCCAGAAATTGGATGTTTTAGATGGTTAAAAAAACAAACAAACAAACAAACTTCAACTTTTAACAGAACCTCGTACTTAACTGTCTGAAATGAAACATTAGGTATTAGTCAACCTCATAGTATATACATATCTATAATATGGTGGTTCACTAAACAGAACATACAATAAACAGAACATATAACCATCAATGTTGCATGTGTGTGTATGTATGCGTGTTTGCATTTGTGTGTAGAGATATCCAATAAGACAAAAATACCAAAATCCAAAATTGAAAGTAGGAAAATAAATTTAAAAATAGTTCAATTCAAATTAAAGTCAAATATTATATATAACCTTAATGAGATTTTATAATGCTTTTAACTAGATTTTTACAATCCATGTTTATATAATTCTTTTTAAACACATAAAGTTAACAAAATACACAATGGCAAGCAGTGATATAAAACTAATTTTAGATGCTGTATGATGATTTCTGTGGATTAAGAAGTATAGGTTATAGGTTTTGAATTCAGAAAATAATGAGAAATCACTTACCTCTAACTAAAGTTCTCTGAAGGTAGTATCCTCCTTAGAACCCCTATCTTGGGTAGTTTCACCTGCTGTTATTTCCCTCAAGAGACTCCAGCAAAGTCTAGGAAGTTTTAAGTTGCCTTCCGCAAGCCCTATTAGCGCATGTGTGTTATAAACCCGCTCACATACTGCCTCATAGCTGTTACAGAACTGTTAACTTCCAGTTCCCACTGAATCACCACCACCACTACCACCACCATCATCTGTATATCAAGGGAGGATACTAGCTTTGGAGAATTCCACTTAGAAGTGTGACTTTTTTCACTTCTCCAAAAATATTCTCCAAATTATTCCACTGCTGTGTCTATAATGTACTTAAAAGAGTGGTGGCAATTCAGTAGGTGAATAAATCACATTACAAAAAACTGTTAAGCAATTATATTTGCTGAATACTCAAATATAATACTGCAACAAAACACAAAAGTAGCTTCTTCAAAAAATACATTAAAAAACTAAACTAAACGTATACATGAAAAATCCTTCATAAAAAATACTTTTGTAAACAAAGTAGAAAATATCACTTGGGCCTATAAAATATTTCTCTAGTATGTTTTGTTAAAGAAATGCCAATGTTTAATAATGAGTTTGGAAATAAATCACTGAAATACAAGTGTTAACTAATTTCCAATGATTTTTCATTGTGTCACTTCTAATTTAAACTGCCAAAATAAAGTAAAAGCAAAACAAAAATAAACATCAAAACAAGTCACTCAAACCACAGTTAATCTCATATAGCTAGAATGCAGTTTACAAAGGGTTAAACACCTAACAAAATTTTTCAAATCTATTCAGGAAACAAACTGAAAAACAGTGGAAGAAAGGAGACCTATATTCCACTATGCCATAAAGGTCTTTTACTTTGGATTCCATTAACTTCTTGCTGATTTTTTGATAGCCATATAAAAGTAGGAGAAAAAAGCAAAGGGAATCAATTGCCCTAGATACCAGAGGACTACACCACACATGTAGCACTATTTTAGAAGATCAAGTATGGACCAACTTTAAAAACACTGATTTTAGCTATGAGCCACCATCAGCTTGTTAGCATAAATAAGACCCAAACAACGTCATGACAAAATTCTTTTTTAGATGTCTCAGTTACTCTGAAGTTTTCCCTGGCTCATAATAGGTTCTAAATAAATGTTTCTGAATACTCTCATTTCAAATATCAACTTAACTCCTCCCATGACTCTTCTTTCATATAAGAAAACACACATAAAGATAAAATACGATAATAATATTACCAAAAAGCAATTAAGAAACTGTAACAGGAAGACTAGGAAAATCTTAATCTCCCATTTAAATACTTAAAATATAAATAAACTAATCATGCATAGCTCTGATTCTTCAAATTATCTGTGCTTCTACAATGCGTGGATTTAAATTAAATTTTAGAATAGGGATACTCCTTTAGAAATGTGGCCTCTGTTTATCATGAAACCTAAGGTTATTTTTCCAATTTGAATAGTGTATAGAACAAAATGTCCCCAAAACAAAATGTAATCCCCATTGCAAAAAAAAAGTCAAAAAATAGCATTTATAGAACAGATTGTTTAGAGGTAAAAATAAATAAATAAATAATCTAGTCACCTATCAGAAAGAATAAAATGTTGAGCCATGAGGCAGTACATATGCATTCACTTTCCCTCTTATACATGCACTATTAGGACTCACTGAAGGGTAAAAAAATCTTCTAGATCTTGCTAGTTTAAATGCAGGAATAACTAACAACCCAAGAAGGTGTATCTAGGATGATACTTACCTTATGATAGATTATACCACTGTGCTATTATGTATTCTGTGTATGGATACACAAGCAGTCAGCGGAAAGGTACACACCACACTAGCAAATGCTTGGCTGGACCCATAAGGTCGGATGACCAATGGAATATCAAGATATGTGTCGATTCTCCAGCCCTCATAACCACATTCCAGACATCTCACGTAGTCCTTCAGCTTGCCTTGATATAGCTCATTTATAAGATCAGCCTAAAAATAAGAACATTTACATTTTAAAGTGCTCCTTAAAACTAATTTTTACACTATGTGAAAACAAAATTCATGCTTTTAAATATAAATTTCAAAAGGATATTCCCTCTTACTTTCAAAGTTTTAGAAAGCTTTCATATTTATCTAAAATTCTATTGAAAAAAAAAAAAAATAAAGCCTGGATAAAATTCAACTAAAAAAATCAATAAAATTAGATTAACACTATTTTAAAAATCAATGTATAAAAATCAACTACTGTAATTCTCATATATTAAAAATCCCACCACTTGGCTGAGCAAAATTGACAATATTTTAATAAGGTCTGTTTTTGTTAATAGTGTTATATCAATGTTGATTTCCTTGTTTGCTAATTATACTATGGTCATGTAAAATGTTAACATTAAGAGACACTGATGAATACTGTACCAAATTCTCTGTCTTATTATTTTTAACTTTTCTGTAATTTTAAAATTAGTTCAAAATAAAATATTCTTTAAAATCACTTTAAGGTTATAAAACACAAGAAATTAGAGTGGTTTTTAATTATGTTTTTGTTCTAGAGAGTACGGAACCGCTCTGTTATGAAACATGGTGTCATTAACACCCTTAAAATTCAATAAAAGGCTTTAAAAAATAACAATAATAATAAAATAAAAATAAAAATCCCACCACTAAACAATGTTCTGTTGAAATCAGTTACCAATTTATTATACCATTAAGCCTCATATCTTTTCATTAGGCTGAAAATACATCCTAATCTATCACTTTAGGCACATTGATAATTACACAGTTAAATAACTGACTTTTTATAGCTTTACATATGCATATCGTACTCTCACAATAATATATTCTGATTTTTAAAATCATATCTGCTAGCTCAAAATATAACTTTTTAACTTTTAGTAACACATGTAAAACAGATTATAACTTTTTAATAATGTATAGAAAATTTAAAAAAATTTTAAACTCCATCTTCCTTGAAATATTCTCACTTAAAAGAAAGGATCTCTCACCTAGTCTCCAAACTTAGTCAACTCGGACTGATCTGGCTCAAAGAAGGCACATAACTCCATAAATAAGGACCCTCCATATGAATGTCTTGCCTCAAGATTCTTGTACCCAAACTTTGGAATGCAATAGGAGTGCCCCAGGTGATCTTAGTGAAAGTGTTAACCCACAGAGGTATGTAACAAGAAGGGTAATTTCAGACTTATGAAGAAACAGGCCACTAATACCATCTATATAAATTACTTAAATACAATCTCACAAGACTATGTAGAGAAACCAGATCACTAAATAAACTTAAAGATGTTTTTCAAATCTCTTAAGAATAGATAAGAAAGCACATTATAGTTTTTTTTTTCCATAAATTTGAATCTCTTCAAATGTCTAGGACTTATAAGTCTTCAAACTAGGATCCACCATCATTGTCTACTCTAATATTTAATGAAGCATTCTTCATTCACCTGCCCCAGTCACATTTAATTGTCTTCTGTATCATTTCTAAGTGGTTCATTCAGTATTTTTCAAACAGTTTTGATAGCAACTCACAGAAAGAAAATATTTTCACTGCAACCTGGTATATAGCTGTAACAAAAGTTACATAATAACAATGCTCACCCTTACATATGTAATACTCTTATAATTTTCTAATCTATTCCATCAAAAATAAAAGTGCTAGTGTAGATTCACTAAACTGATTTCATAACCCATGAAGGGATCAGAGTCTAGTTTTAAAATCTCTGGTCCAAGCCACCATAATAGTTCCAGTCAGACAACAGACCCTCCAGGCCACTGTCCAAATTCTCCACCCTCCTCCATTTTTTATCCCTATGATTCTCTATCACTATACCCAGTATAAATCCTCTTTACTGAATCCTGAGTTCCATCTAGTTTAGCCTTATTCCTCACCCCAATTATATACTAACGTTTTTTTTCATTCTTCTAACCCATTCCTCCTTCTGTTGCATAAGAAATATAGGGTCAGAGTAACAAAAATCCTAAATGTCAGAAGTGTATGACTATACCTCATTGGTCAAAATGAAGGTAATGGTTGATGAATATACTTTGTAATATGCTACAGATGACAGGACATATAATTTACTTACTAATATCTGAAAATACTATTCAAAAATCCCCCCAAACCATACATACACATACATTTATATATGGATTACACAGTTTTTAGCTAACAAAAAAAAAACAAAAACAAAACACATAGATAATAGAGCCCAACTTCCTTATTATAAAGATGAGGAAACTGTGGTCTACAGTGGTTTAATGAAGATTTTTGACTCAGTTAACAGCCAACTGAAAACCTAGTATTTTTAATTCCCATTTAGTACTTTCACAACTGTACTATGACCAACCTAAAACATTCCAATAGAATAAAAGGCACTTTAGGGTAATGATTTATTACAAAACACTCCCCTCAACTTGAGAGAGATGAATTACCTGTTCTGTTTGTTTCCATTTCTGTTCCAAAGCATCAAACATAACTCTGCACAGTTCTTGTACATCATGCTGCTGCCAAGCTATTTTAAGACAAAATTTAATTTAAAAATAGCAATAAATTTAGTGTAATAAAATGTTAATTTGTTGTTTATAAACAAATTTGTCACAAACATGAAAAAGTCTACACAAATAGTACTTAATTTAAAAACAACACAAAATACACATTATAGTCATGAAAAGACCATCACAGGAAAAGAATGAAGAGAGCTCAACATTTACAGAATACAAATGTTTCATGGTACTATGTATGTTCATTATTATTTTTGTTATTTTTCACTATAGAGAAAAATGTTAAAATGATAAACTTTAAAATTTTTAGTTTAAGTACACATAAATAGAGTATAACCAAATGTATTTTACATGACATTTTTAATTGATCAAAAATTCACTCCTCAGAGCTTAAATTTGAAAAATAAGTTATTTTTAAATCCCAACATAAAAGCAATGAAACTATTTAAGGTAAAGTTAATTAAGTTCTTAATTTGTGTTATTTGTTTATAATACTGTCTGCTAGAATTCCTTTGAATATTAGAAATACTTCATTACAAGATAATTAGTACCCTCACTACTATCCCATCCAAAGCTCCTTGTAACATCTGTGGTTTCAATTGCTCTCTTTTTGCTGGTTTGTAATAAAACAAAAAGTCTTTGTAGTTGGTATGGGATACTTGTCACTGGATCTTCTTCAGATTCTTCAAACTCCCACCTATAAAAATAAAATAAATAAAATTATTTATAAAATATTTTTATTCTGTAATCATAATATTATCACAATAATGATAGAATTTACACATTAACTGAAGTTATTACTATCTAATGAAACATCAGTCTTTCTTCAATTCATATTCAGAAGAAATTTAGACTTTAATAAGAAAGCAACATGAGCCCTGGCCGGTTTGGGGCTCAGTGGTTGAAACATCGGCCTGCAGACCAGAGTTCTGGGTTCAGTTCCTGCTAGGGGCACATACCAAAAAAAAAAAAAAAAAAGAAAAGAAAGCAACATGAAAGACAAAATATATTTAAAAGTAACTTCAAAGTTGAATCTGATCAAGATTCTTATCCTAATTATTAATTCACACAAAATAATACAAGGAATAGAACATATTAAATAACACTATGGCACTCAACCATCAAAATCCAAACTGTTGAAAACTACGGGGCAAATAAAAATATAAGTATTTTCAAAAAAATAAATTACAAGGGGAAAAAAGATAGAAAGGGATTTTTAAAAGATTAAATAGATTAAGTGGCTTATGGATCAATTTCAGTGCATGGATCTTATTCGGAACCTGATTTGAACAGATTGTTTAAAAAAAATACTACGAGGAAATCTTGGCATTGACGATGGGGTGTGCTTCCAAAAAACCAGAGTGAAAGATTATAGATTAAAAAATTGATCACAAGTAGAAAACATTAAAAACTGGTGTTAGGTACAGATAAATTCATTATAATATTTCACTATTTTTTAATGTTTGCATTTTCCATAATAAAATATTTAAAATATATATATGTAAATAAAGTAATCCAGATACAATATTTACACTCACATACTTCTGATAAACATTAGTCTAGTCCTAACTATAGGGACTGTCTTAATAATAAATTTCTAAACAAAGAACTTAAGAGCTCATTGAAAAAAATAAGATTTGGTGGGATTAAAGTTTGTAATGTACCCACAAAAGTCCTTAAAATAATTTGTATACAATAAAATAAAATGACAAAGATGAATTTAAATAAGGATAATATTAATGACTCTCTTTATTTTATGCTGGCAATAAAGTTATTACTTTCCACTTCCTCACTAGAACCTTTTTAGTTTCAAACGAGGCTAGAACATTGACTTTCCTGTGATGCAATTCATACATATACTAAAAATCTTTCAGTTTTTTCTTCTTTTGATATGGCCTTCTGTTAAGTATTCAATCTTTTTTTCTTTTAGAGCTAGGAAGTTACAGCCCTGAGATCCTATTCCTTTTTTACACACCGAAGCTCCCTTTTCTTGCAGATGTCAGTAAACACATTTCCCTTTTTCCTTCTCAAAGCTTCCCTGCAAACACCTCTACTCTTTATCCACTCTATTATATTCAACCTCTAAACCTCTTTTATTCTTATTTTTCTCAATAGAAGGAATTTATACTTGACATTATGTGGTCTAAAATTCTCCCAGTAGCTGTAAAGAAACAGTGAAGTCAAAGCACAGAATGCTTCATCTCTTGCCAGGGAAATTCACTAGTGGGGAGGAATTGCTGTAATATAAAACTGAATTCTCACGTGTCCTTTATTCCTGGTACAAATACCTTAAAAAGGTTTTAAATCTTTTTGGTACTTGTAGTTCTACTCTGGTCACCTAAATTAGAAACTTTGGTGCCATATTTAATTCTTCCTTTTCCATTACTCCTAAATAAAATTTGTGACCAAGTCGTATCAGTTTTCAATCTGAATATAATAAACACTGCCACCAACTTCATTCTGATCCTCATATATTCATGCCTGGTTTAATAACAGATTCCTCCAGGCTTCCATATTTTTCAAATAAATTCTGTGGGCTGCGATACATAAACTTTCCTCAAACAATGTATTTAACACATCACTTACATGCCTCCACATCTGAAGTGGTAGAATCTCTGTTGGTGATCATATAACAAGTGAAGAAAATAAAGAAATAGAGCCTTATCCTTTCATGCTAGTGCTACCTGTCTATAGCGCAGCCTGATTTATTCCCAACCAGCAATATATATCATTCTAGTCTCACAATCCTCAGGGCATTTGGCCTTCACTTTTAGCCTTATGGCTTACTCCTCCTCCTCCTCACTAACTGGGCTCCAGTCACAATGGATTTTGATCCTCAAAGGCCTTTGCATTTGCAGTTCTGTCTGTCCTGAATGCTCTTCTTCCAGATCTTCACAGGACTGTCTCCTGTTAGGTCCATTCACATGGCAGTTCCTTAAAGAGGCATCCCTGACTACACCACCTCCTGGCAGTTAACTCTTTCCACATTGCCCTGCTTTATTTTCTACATGGCATATATGACACGGAAACTGTACCCATTTATATAAACTGACTCATGGAAGCTTGAAGGGAGGAACTTTGTCTCATTCACCACTGTAATCTCTGTGCCTAAAATAACACACATTTAGTAGCCCTGGCTATACTCTTAGTCTTCTCCACAGTGCTATATATTTACAGACCACTTTCAGGGATTGGAGTAATGGTTAATCAAGCTCCTGGGATCCCCATTCCTATGCACTACTTGTCAAAGCAGGCACTTCACTCTAGATTGTTCAGTATGTTCTAGTTTTGAGGGGAGGCTCCAGACTCCATCTATTAACCTCAACTTCCAGTATTTTGACAAAACTGTAATTATGCTATCTCCTGGAGGCCCCTACAACATACTATACAGGCAGAATGGGGAAGTGGATTCTGACATCTACTGAGTGTGCCACTTCTAGCATTGTGGCCTCTGGCAAAATACTTAACCTCTCTGTGCCTTCAGTTACCTCCGTGGATAACATTGTGTAATTCATACAGTTACCGTAAGAATTAAATGAGTCTATGTGTGTGAAGTGCCCAGTAGTGTCTGATACAAACTAATAATAACTAACATCCAGGTAGCACATACTATTACTCATTCTTGCTCTGGAAAAGTCCCCCATCTGCAATGCTGTCTCTATCTTCCTAACCTGCCCAAACTGTATCTAGCTTCATGGCTTCAAATTCTTCTTTCTACACTAAACCACTTCTTCAAGTTTCAATAATCCTTCTTCCCTCTAAACTGTCATCGTATTTAACTGTCCTTAAATGTTATTTAAACTATTTCATACATACACGTGTTCCTATTGTAGAGAGATCTGTCATTTAAGAACAAAGACCTTACTTCTAACTCCATCTCTATCTACCAAGTGCCTAGCATATAAACACTATGGGATAATAAATACCTGCTGAATGAAAAAGGTGTCAACTTTTATAAGTAAATTGAGTTTACATATGAATGCAGTGGTAATATAATGTTGTTTGAACAATACAACCAATATTAAAAGTTCCCCAAATACTTTAAATACATATTATAGTAATTTCAAAGATGTTACTCAAAAGTGACATGAAAAAAAGGAAAAGAAATCAGTTTCTTTGTACTTTAACATGTCTTTTAAAAAAGTAAAAGTTATATATACCTTAAAGAAAATATATAAGGAAAGAGTGTATTAAGTGTATTACCACAGGCACTCATAAAAGTAAATGCTTGACTTTAGGGTTCATTTACATATGAACTTTCTTCATAAAGCATTTTAAAGTATCTGATGTATATATAGTCTTTCATTTATTTATTTTATTTACTTATTTTTTTTATCCTCACCCAAGGACATTTTTGCATTTTTATCTTCAGATAGGGTGGGAGGGAGAGAAGGAGGAAGAGAAAAAGAGAATCATCAATGCGAGAAAGACACATCGAGTGGTCACCACCCAGATGACCCCAATCGGGACCAGGGACAAACTACAACCGAGGTATATGCCCCTAGCAGGAACCGAATCCAGGACTCTCCAGTCCGCAGGCCGATGCTCTAACCGCTGAGCCAAACAGGCCAGGGCTATATACAGTTTTTTAGAAACACATACACACAAACACAAGACACAGAACATAGAAACACATACACAAAACACAGAACAGCTACTTTATATATTAATTAGAAACAAAGTTTGCAAGTTTAAAACTACAAATTTGTTTCTTAAATTGAGAAGTGGTTTATATACTTAGATTATCTCAAAAAAGCAGATAACATATTTAATAAAGGTGTTAAAGCTATACGAAAGGGAAGCTTATAAACAATAATTTGTACCAAATGTAAATCTTATCAATTTTATCCTTTGCTGTCTATGAACTTCTGATTCTTACTCCCCACAAATTTTTCATATGTCAATCTCTCATTAAATACTTTTCTTTTTCAAATATGTTTTTATTGATTTTTTTTAGAAAGAGAGAAAGGGAGAGATAGAAACATCGATGTGAGAAACATTAATCGGCTGCCTCCTGCATGCCCCCTACTGGGGATCAACCTCGCAATCTGGGCATGTGCCCTGACTGGGAATCAAACCAGTACCTCTCAGTCCATGGGACCATACTCAATCAACTGAGCCACACTGGTCAGGCTAAAATCCTTTTCTTATATACTATTCTGGTGTGTCTTATGAAGTGAGAAATGGCCCAACCTTTACAAGATAAATTAGATTTTATTAGTTAAAAACTAATTCTTAATCAGTTTTACTTACAGAATTTTTTAAATACTTACTTATATAATGCATTCCTAAATTCAGGAGTCATAAAAAGTGTTTGCAAAAGGCTATTCAAATAGCAAGTCATTGCTTGGTTTACTAATCCCACATATCCTTTAAAAAGAAAACACAAAAATATACATGAATCAGCATTTATATTAAAAAAATCACAAAAAAGAACCTAAGAACTTAATACACAGTGAAAATTGAGAGGTTAATGTTACTTAGTTGGAAATTATTTCCATTTTTTTAATAGCACCTAAGAAATATGTACACTATGTAAACCTTGCTTCTCAGCAAGTCAGGATATCTTATAATAGGTCCAGAGATATACATAGATATTATGTAGCATTTAATAAAATTTTAAAAGAAATATGTTTACTCGAGTATGTTTAATTGACATAAAAATAATCTTTGTTCCCCAAATCTAAAAGTTGTGGTTAAAAATGGAAAAATATAAACATATTCACTTTAACTATCACACACACCCAATATAGGCCCTATAACTCAATTTCTACCAAGAATTAATAATACATGAGATACATTCATTATAAAAAACTCAGAGTGACTTCCTCTATTTTAATAAGCCCATAAAGTATGAGATGCTATAGATCAGTAATGCTATGCAAAGAATGACTATACAGTAAGAAGAGAAGTCAGAGATCAGAGGGAGGGAGGGAAAGGAGGAACTTATATGAACTTAAAATTTAAGCTGAGGAGAAGATTAAGGGTGTTGGAAAGGCCTGTGTCCTGGTAGCTTGAAGCCATATGGGGGGAGTTTTTTAAATGTTCACAAGTGCTTTACTTAGCTTTATATATCTAATGAGATATGGTTCTCACTATTGAGAACATTTTTGGAACTTCTCTTTTGAAGTAGACTACAGGCCGTTTATGAGATACACATAAACAAACAAAAAAAAATCTGTCTCATCTTTGTAGTTATACCTCATTATTTGAGCAAAATATGGTAAATATCTTGCTTAATAATTAAACTTATTTACTCAAATTTAATACTAAATGACTGGATTGTCTCAAAAAACTTTAAATCCATTCTCGAAAGATGCTGAAGGTGTTCACTAACGTTTTTCGAAATACCTTTTCAATATTCCAGCAATTACAAAAAATGTGTTAAGAAATGGTAGGCTCTGTGAATAAGTATATTGCCAAAGAAAGTGATGAAAAGACCAAAACATATGCATGATGAATCTTGGTCAGTTGTGAAAAAGAGGAATAGATTCCATACTATCTGTACCTGTGCAATTCTACGAGCCAAAGCAGCTATCCATCTTTCACTTTGGACGAAGGTTCAAGCTTTGATTTCTAAAGGCTTCCATCTTTAAGAACTCTGTGTTTATATCTATTTTTTTTAGATTTTTTATAATTATAAATTGCCTGAGTTACTAACCACTCCTCACCTGAGCTGTTTACATAACACCCTGTCCTTAATCTATATTAGAGATTTTATCTCACTGTTCTGTAATTACTTCTACATTTATATTTCTTCCTCATCAGACTGTGAGGGCAGGGGTCAAATCTGTAAGCAGCAGGTGCACATGAGGGGGAAGTGCATATGACTTACAAGTAACCGAAATCTGTATATTCAGCCTGATTCAGCATTATTTCATTTTTAGTTCATATAAACAGACTTCCCCACAAACGACATCACTCTGGCTAGGAGACCAGGTTATTCTGCACCTACTTCTCAGGTAAAGCTGCCTGGGATTTCTCCTCTTCTCTATCTCCTTCTCCGATTCCTCAACAGTCAAGGACAACCACTCTACCTATAGTTTTAAAAATACTACTATTGTCCTCTGTGTACCCACAGACAAATCATGTGTCATTTATTTTGACCTTGTTTTCCTTCCCTGGGCTTAAAAAAAGGGGGTGGTAGGGGAGGGGATTTAAGGGAAGGAGAAAGTAATAGCAATTGACTTTTGCCATCACTCATTATTTTGCCACTAGCAATAAAATCATATAGAAACCTATTGGTGTTTGTACTTGATTTAACACTGTATTTAAACAGAATAAATAGTGTCTCCCAGAAATGTACTACTCTTTTCTTAAAATATAAAGAGATGTTAGTGAGATTAATAAGTTAAAAGTGCTATTGAATTAATAGAAATCTTTTGTCATTATGCATTGCCTAAATCAACAAACTTCAAATGACAACTATTATCAAGTGGGACCTATGTCAGAAACAGTTGTGAATAAACACTGTTAAGTATAAGCCAGTAAGGGAGAAGAATGTGAGAACATATGCCATTTTGTAGAGACATGCAGAAAGTAATCATGAACAGAGCCAATAGGTAATAAAGTAGAAATCAAATAGGCAAACTCCTATAATAGATAAAAGAACTGTTATAAGAAACTGGCCAAGGACAAATACGCATTTATATAATGAAACATAATCAGTCACATAATTTCTAATCACCTTTGGGTCCACATCAGCCTTCAATCCACTCCTTATTCCTCAGAATTCATACCTCCCCACCCCCCAACCATTTTCTATCAACAGTGGTTAGCTACCAGAAAGAGGTGGTAGGCAAAGAAGACAAGAAAGAATGTTAATTCCCCAAGCCCACTACATTATAGAGAAATGTGTTTCTAGAGCCCTGAGTGGGAATCACAAGAGCACTTTCCAATGAATACATTTTGTACACAGTGGCAAGATTTACAATAATTTCTTAAGGAAAATGCAAAATCAAGTCACTAACAAAATAAGTCTTCTTAATTTGAACTTTATTCTTCAATTACAGTTTACATTCAATATTATTTTGTATTAGTTTTAGGTGTACAGCATAGTGGTTAGACTATTATATACTTTACAAAGTGTTCCCCGATTATTTCAAATATCTAGCTGACACCAAGCCCAGTTATTACAATATTACTGACCATATTCCCTATGCTATAAATTTTTTAAAAAATGTTTTTATTAATTTTAGAGAGAAAGAAAAGCAGAGGGGGAGAGAGAGAGAGAAACATTGATGTGAGAAAGAAACATCAATTGGTTGCATCTTGCATACACCCCAACTAGGGATCAAATCTGCAAACTGGGCATGTTCCCTGAACAGGAATTGACCTGGCAACCTTTTGATGCATGGGATGATGCTCAACCAACTGAGCCACACCAGCCAGGACTCCTTCACCTTTTCACACAGTCTCCCAACCCTCGTCCACTCTGGAAATCATCGGTCTGTTCTCTTTATCTATGAGTCTGTTTCTATTACATTTGTTCATTTATTTTGCTCTTTAGGTTCACATATAAGTGAAATTATATAGTATTTGTCTTTTTCTGACTGACTCATTTCACTTATCATAATATGCTCTAAGTCCATCCATGCTGTCACAAATAGTAAGATTTCATTATTTTTTATGGCCAAGTAATATTCCATTGTCTATATGTACCACAGATATTTTACAAACCCATCTAGAGATCAAAATAAGTTTTATAGCACATCTCCTTGGGATGCTAATAGACTATGTCAATTTAGACAGGCACTACCTCAGAATACTGGAGAAAAATGTACAGGTGGAAAAAAGGATAGGAGCAGAGGTGTGTGAGGAACAGTAACTGGAAATAAAGACTATATAATAACATGGCAATGTATATCAAAGCCCTCCAAAGTTTTTAAAAATAAATTTCAAGTTGGTAATTCAGTTTTTGGGAACTTACCCTAAGGAAATAATTGAAGATGAAAATAAAAATTTATGTGCAAGAATATTCATTATAAAACCAGTAACAGGCCCTGGCCAGTTTGGCTCAGAGGTTAGAGCGTCGGCCTGCGGTCCAGAGAGAGCCGGGTTCAGTTCCCGCTGAGGGTGCGTACCTCGGTTGCGGTTTGTCTCTGGCCCTGGTTGGTCGTGCGGGTGGCGGCCACTCGATGTGTCCCTTTCACTCGATGTCTCTCTCTCTATCTCCCTCCCACTCTATCTGAGCAAAAAAATGGAAAAATGTTTTTGAGTGAGGATAAAAAAAAAAGGAAAAAAAAAAAAAAAACCAAACCAGTAACAGTTTAAATCCCTAAGCCATGTACTAAAACACTAACTTTCAGCCATTTTAATATTCAATCTCATATTAAAATACTTCTTAGTAGCACTGAAAAATGCTAGTATTAAGTGAAAAATATAAATTAAAAATCTGCTCATATCATGAATACCCTATTTTCTTAAAAGCATACATATAGAAAAAAAAGACAAGATAAAAATAAGCAAATCACTAAAAGTAGTTTCTGCTAGGAGTACTGTCAGTGATTTTTACTTTTTTCATTTTACAGTGTGACGACGAATCTGTATTACATTTGTAGAATCAGAAAGAAAATATTGTTTAAGTATGTTTTAATCTTTAGGAACTTATAGACATCAAAGAGCCATGTCGTACACAGCACAAAGTAGGAGTTTTGTAAATACTTGTTGCATAAAGGCTGAACTGGTTGTCAGAATACAAAGCAAGTATTTTAAGAATCTAATTGGTTAAATATGGAACTTTCTTGGTATTCCAACTATCTCAGAATAATCTAGGGTGTTTATTTAAAACAAAATGCAATTTACCCAGCCTGCTCCAAAGCAGTTAAATCAGCCTTGTTTTGGAACCTATATATTTTTTTTAAATATGTTTTTATTGATTTTTAGAGAGAGGAAGGAAGGAGAGGGGCGGGTCGGGGATAGAGAGAGTGAAAGAGAGAAAAAAGCATCAATGTGAGAGATAAACATCAATGGGCTGCCTCCTGCATGCCCCCTACTGGGGATCTAGCCCACAACCCAGGTATGTGTCCTGACCAGAACTGAACTGGTGACCTTTTGGTGCACAGGAGGACGCTCAACAAACTGAGCCACACCAACCAGGTCTGGAACCTACATTCTTAACAAGTATACCATCCCTAAATGATTTTTTTTAAGAAATAGAAATTTGAGAACCACTACTGAAGACCCTGTAATGAGAAACAGCTTTATTGTCTCCTATTATCTGAAATAGAAGATAACTTTGCATTCCCTTGTATTCATGGTAGTTTGCTGCATAAAGTTCTACTGATACAAATGGTCTGAAATACCAAACACAACTAGCTTTTACTGCAGTTTCCAGAATACATCATTACGCCTGCACAAATGATTAGTTATAAGAAAATTAGTCTACATTTTAATTACAAAATACAGTAAATGGAAGGTTACAAATCATATTCAAACAAAATGTGCAATATAACCATATAGTTCTCTTTTTATACCAGATATTTGCATGTAATATTTAAAATCATCTGTTTTGAAGTTCTAAGACTAAAGGTTTGAAAGCCATACCTAGCATTAACTAGCTGCAAAATCAAAGTCTTCTTTAAAAACCAGTTTCCATTTCTTCTAATATGAGTAATATTATCTACAGCAAAGGTTTGTTGTAAGATGAAAATAATATGAAAAAGTATCTAAATTTTATATATATATAATATTTTTCCTTTATTGATTTTAGAGAGAGAGGAAGGGAGGAGGAGAGAGAGATAGAAACATCGATGCGAGAGAACACCGACTGGCTGCCTCTTGCATGCCTCCCACTGGGGACTGGGCCCACAACCTGGGCATGTGCACTGACAGGGAATCGAATCGGTGACCTCCTGGTGCATGGGTCAATGTTCAACAACTGAGCCACACCACCCGGGTTCTAAATTATATTTTTAGGCAATTAATCAATCACATATAAATGAATATCCTTTATATAAAAAAAAGTCATTTCACAAGTCAATAAATTGAAAAAATTTTAAAAATCTAGGTTTAATCAAATTTGGAAAAAAGTTAATAGACTTGTTACACTGCATGATTAATGTCAAATACATTATTAGATTAAACTGAAAGATAACATAATAGATCTAATAAAATAAGCCTGGCTTATGTGCTTCAAAATGAAAGTATCCCACATCCAAAAGTAGATATCAGAGACATTCCTTTCCAGAGGAAGTCAGCGCCATTAATTTAAGATTAAATTCAAATAGAAACTTACCAAAACGTAAAGTATTGCCCTGGCCAGTTTGGCTAAGTGGTCAGAGTGTCGGTCTGGTGACCCAAGGGTCTTGGGTTTGATTCATGGTCAAGGACACATACCTGGGTTGCTGGTTCAATCCCCAGCTCCAGTCACGGTCTTGAGAGAGACAACCAATCCACATCAATGGTTTCTCTCTCCCTCCTTCCTTCTCCCTCCCTCCCTTCCACTCTATCTTAAAAAAAAACAAAAACACATCAATGGAAAAATAACCTCAGGTGAGGATTAACAAATAAATAAAAATAAGTCTTCCTTCAAAATACAAATTCAAGCCCTGGTCGGTTTGGCTCAGCGGTTAGAGCGTCGCCTGCGGTCCAGAGAGACCTGGGTTCGGTTCCCGCTAAGGACACGTACCTTGGTTGCAGTTTGTCCCCGGCCCTGGTCGGTTGTGCGGGTGGCAGCCACTCGATGTGTACCTTTCGCATCGATGTTTCTCTCTCTCTCTGTTCCTTTCTCTCCCTCCCACTCTACCTGAACAAAAATGGAAAAATGTCCTCAGGTGAGAATTAAAAAAAAAACAAACAAATTCGACATATTTTTTAATTGATTTTTTTAGAAAGAGAAAGGAAGGGAAAGATAGAAACATCAATGTGAGAGAGAAACAAGGATCAGCTGCCTCCTACACGCCCCCTACATGCAATCCGGGCATGTGCCCTGATTGGGAATGGAACCAGGACCTCTCAGTCCATGGGACAATGCTCAATCCACTGAACCACACCATCCTGGCCAAATTGAATATTTTTTACTTTATTACTAAGCAGTGGCAATAACAATGCAGTAAAAACAACAATGGGTTGAGAAAAGGGTGACCACATTTTTGTCCTAACTTTGTTTCTGCTATCTTACTCTGGGTCTCAGTTTTCTAATCCACAAAATGAGGAGATTAATTTTGAGATTGCTAATATTACTCTGGGCGAATGCGCTATATTTCATGAAAATACAACAATGACAAATCTTACCAGTTTCTGATTTATTCAAAATAGATGAATAAGAGTAGCTTTGGCTGACATAATCACTGGTAGAGCCCACAGAACCTTCTCTTGGAAGCGGACCTATAAATCTGTCTTGGACACTGTCATCCCCAGCGCTGGAATCCTCCTAAAACACAGCATAATCAATATTTACTAAATGGAAAATGTTACTAAAACAATGAAAAAAAGACATACTAATTGCTGAGGCAAGGGAAAAAACATGAGGCATTACTATTACTGTTACCATCAAGACATTTAAAGGAGTATAAACCCTCAACATTTCCAGTAGGAAGGTTAGAAGGATGCTTAATATGAAACACTCTGAAGAGTTGTTCATACCTCCTTCCAAAGTCCTTACTTTCCCAATTTACTTTAACTAATTTTCAAATTTCATTTACACAAGAAAAAGAAAATATTTTGGTACTAATAAATCAAAAGTACAATCGTAAACTTCTTGATAGTATATCACTAATTTTTACATCACCCTTGTCAAGTAGGCCTCGCAAGTATAGGATACTCACTAAATGTTGAATGAAATCAACAGTTTCTTACTGTCTCCAATAAGAAATCTCTCATTAATAAGAAAAATGTTGAAAAGGATTAAAAGATATAAAATCAGCACAATTAAGACAGAGCTGAAGAGCCCTGGCCGGTTTGGCTCAGCGGTTAGAGTGTCGACCTGCGGTCCTGAGAGACCCGGGTTCGGTTCCCGCTAAGGGCATGTACCTCGGTTGCAGTTTGTCCCTGGCCCTGGCTGGTCGTGTGGGTGGCAGCCACTCAACGTGTCCCTTCACGTCGATGTTTCTCTCTCTCTCTTCCTCTCTCTCCCTCCCGCTCTATCTGAACAAAAAATGGAAAAATGTCCTCGGGTGAGGATAAAAAAAAAAAAAAGACAGAGCTGAAGAGTAATTACTATGCATTTTAAAACATAAATTTCCGAATTGTGAATTTAGAGGGCCCTAAATTTTTTAGCCCATTTCAATGTCAGACTAACCAAAATTTTCTCACCATCTCATAAAAATAAATGAAATTAAAGAGGGTCAGAGAGCATATTCTGTTACTGCTTCAGTATGGATGCCCTACATTTAATTATTACTTACTGTCCAGAGAGGCATTCTAATTTACAACAGACTTCTAAATGAAAAGTATCAAACAGAACTTTTCCTATGGAAAGTTTCATTAAAGAGAAGGGTTCTGAAAAAGTCCATAAACTCTCTGAGCCTTCCTTTTGTCAGTCCATAAAATAGCAAAGTTAAATCAGACTAGGTTTTCTTCTCAAACTGGGAGTTAGTGGGTTAGATAATCTCTAAGGTCACTAGACCAGATAGGAAATCATATCAAAATATGAACTGGAGTAAACAACTAAAAGAATAGAAATATATAATATACAAACTGACCATTCCCCCAAAGGTGGCAGGGAGTGGGAACATAAATGGAACAGTAGAGGATTCTGAAGATGTCCCTTCTCCAAAATACCAAAAAACTTGGGGCAAAACTGTCAAAGATTTACAGCAACCAAGTGAATGCTTAACCAAAGGAAAGGACACTGAAACACAGTAGGTGATCTTTGTGGCATTTTAACTGACCCTAGACCCACCCCCAACCCTGCTGTGGTGGTAGTCTTTAAGACTGTAACCTGTATTCCCAGCATTGAAACGGACTATAGACACAAATAACAGTGTAACCAGGTGAACAAATATAACAAATCAACATAAAAAAGAAAAGTAATTCATTATACATAAATTACAAAACACATCTCGACTCCTTCCTTTGAAAAACTGCTTCCAAAATAGGTGACAGTGCACAAAAGTTATGAATCTAGGGCTTTCTAAATAGTTTACCAGCAGTATTTGAGGCTGTTCACCATCTTTATCTGTCAAATGCAGAAAATTCTTCTTTCCTGGCTCAAAATTAGCATCAAGAAGAGACTTGTCACTGGTATGATCTAGTGGAGCCTATGAACATAAAGTAAAATATCAGATTATGAAAAACATTAATTGTAATAATAAAATAAAACAAGTATGTAATATGCAAATAGACAATTACTGGGCTCAAATAATTTTTTTAAGGAAAGATTCCAGTGAGTTCTATTAATCTACACTTGGAATTAACTCATTTACTTGTGTACTGGAATGGCTAAGTCCTGTGACAGTGCATATACTGACAGGTATCCCAGATGCTCCCATTCCCCAATGTCTAAAAATTGAAAAGAGAAAAGGTAAAGGTTAAGAACTAATGTAAAGTACTACACAAAGAAAATTATGAACATGTGTGTTTTATGTTCTCTAAATTGTATGCAATATAATATTTAATGAATTTTCATGAAAATGAACTAAAGATAATTTTATACTAAAACCTAAAAATGTTTTTACATATGAATATATTGAGAATTCCTAGATAAGTACCATACTAAACAATCCAAAATAATTATGTAATATAACAAAATGGGCACCTTTAGAAAGACCCCTTAAAGAAAATCCTCTCCTAGTAAACGATACCTATTTTAAGTCTACTGCCAGGATCTAGAGGATCCCTGGGGAATAAAAGTGATCATCCTTTGCAAATGAAAATCTAAGACATTTACTCTTTACCTAACTCTTTTTTATCGACCCTAGCTGTCCTTGTAATACACTCTAGTTGTTGAATGAGAGACGAAGCTCTGTATGCTCCAAGCCCTACTCACCCACACCCCAGTGCATTGTTGAGAAAAATGCATGATGAAATGAACACCATATTCTTTTGTTTTAAAAAATTTTTTTGTTATAGTAAGAATTGTTTTTTAACGTAATTTAAAGACATGAGAAATGTCTCCTAAAAAAGACTTATTTTACAAAAACGTCTTTATTTCTTAGGAAAGTAACATTTTAAAAAAGCAGAGGTATTAAGGACCAAATAAAACAACTTAAGTGATTTTTTCTCTTGATATTTATGTGACTTTGGGCAAGTTAAAATTACTTCACTTCCCCATCACTCAGTTACCTTAGCTGTAATATGAGGCTATAACATCACCTACCTTGTAAAGTGATTATAATGATTCAGTGAGGTTATGTTTGTATAGAGTGTAGTATTAGAACAATACTAGGTACCTAGTAAGTGCAAAACAAGTGCCAAGGAAATAAAATAAACTATATAATTTATTTCTTATCTTTGGTTCTAAAAATTTGTAAGAAAAATAGGAGATAGAAAACTGAAATGAAGCTATGAGAAGCCACACAGAAAGAGGAAAGGTATCTTTGGGTCCCTCACATTCTCTGGCAGGAAATAAAAGAACAGATGATACAGCTCAAATATATAGGGGTTTTACCTCAATAAATGTGTCTATGTGTACAAGTTGGTGAGTAGCTAAATAGGCTAGGTTTTCAGAGAAGCATACATTTCAGCATTGTGCAGTAAGCAGGTGAAAGTTTACCTGTAGAAATGTACAGGAGAATAAAAATATATAAACCAAGTACTTAAGAACAGCCATAGCTAAAGAAAGAGAAAGAGTAATCCTGACATAGAGCTATTTGAAGCTATGTAGATACTAATGTAATACACATTTTTTTAGTACCTAAAGGGAGTATCTATAGAGGATACAAAATTAATACTATGAGGTCCTAGCCATCAAAATACATTCTACCAAATGGAATGACACAAACTAGTGACAACTATAATAAAAGGAGACTGATGGCACAGAAGAAAAAATGGAATAGGAGGACAAAGAAAAAGAGATTCCTTTTAAAGTTGCATGAGGAAAAGTAAGGCTTCTTAAATGTGACATATAAATAAGACTTGGGTAGACATATATGACAGTATAAACCTTCCTTTAAACTGAAAAAGAGACAACACTACAAGTGACATGGTGATATAATAGGGAGCATTCAAAGTTTCAGATTAAATATTATTTCTCTTTTGTATACTTTGTTGGACTACCAAGTTTTACTAATCAATTTCAGAGAAAAAATTTGACTAATAGTGCTATATTTTAAAAAACAATTATAGCCCTGACTGGTTTGGCTCAGCAGTGGACTAATGAGTCCCAGGTTCGATTCCAGCCAAGGGCATGTACTTCGGTTGCGGTTTGTCCCCAACCCTAGTTGGGGTGGTGCGGGAGGCAACCAGTCGATGTATCTCTCTCACGTCAATGTTTCTCTCTCTCTCCCTACCTGAAGATAAATAGAAAAATATCCTCGGGTGAGGATGAAATAAAAATAAAAAACAAGTATATTATGGAATAAAAAGCAAACTATGAATTTTAAAGGCATATCAGGCAACATTAAACACCTTGGATTCTTCTATGGGGCCAATCAAAACTATACCCTGCAAATATCATAGGAATACACATTTAATTTCACTTGCCATTACATTGGTGTGTATATCCTTTTCGCTCATTTTTCTTTCTATATACACTTTTTTCTTCTTTTCTAAAAATTAAATTATAAAATGCATATATTATATCATGCATTTTTCATTTTAAATACAAGAAGAAAATCATTCCATTCAGTAGATACCGAAAATTTTCTGTAATTGACACAATATGATAGTCATCTTACATGAATTAAAAAAAAAAAAAAAAACAGATGGTGTAAACTTTAGGATAAGCAAATACTGAATTTGGAAGGAAGGAAAAGGGATGAAGAGGGATATAACTATTGAGTTGTACGTAGGATCTCACTATTACAATCTTGCTTTTATTAAAAGGGGTTCCAGGATTTAACTTATACCAACAATAATAACAACTTTAATATTATTAGCCCCTTAAAAAAAAGATGCTTTAAGTCTAGGGTTTTACCATATCAGCAGTATTGATTCCATTTCCCCACACCAAATCGAAGGTTCCATTTATGTAGCCTACTTTGTTGGCCACATCTTCAAAGAGCTTTCTGAGTGGAGTAGAAGCTGGCAAATTTAAAGTGATTCGTTCATTCACTGTCTTTGAATTAGTAGTATCTTGTATTATACATAAGACTCTAGGTTCTTCAGCAGCATTTTCTATCTGAAATTAAAACAAACAAAACCCCACAAATATTATTTATCTTTAAAGTAAAACAATTATGATTAGCCTTATTTTCTATGATTAAATGTTTTAAAATATCCCACAAAATATTATTTTCTTTGTGCTAATATTACTTTATGTCTGAAACAATCTAATGGATATGTCAAACATATAAAAAGCACTATATTAGTTTATTTTGGAAAAACTGGGGCATATTTAAAAATCCAGTCATTCTTGTGAATGTTTCCTTTCATCTTTTAAGGTTATATACAGTGGTCAACGAGCCATGAATATAGTACACTTGAGCAATTTTCAGTTGAAAATAAAATCTGATCCTTAAAAATGTGCCATTTATCACCTTGCATGTTTCAAGCATGACTGAGACTCCTGAAGAAACAGAAAGGGAACTATGTAGAAATGCAGTGAGGACTGTCTAAGATTGCAAAATCCGTTACTAAAAGACACAGGCAACCAGGCCTCCAGACTTTATGCTGCTGTACCCATAGACCAGATGTCCAAAAAGTCCATTATCAACGTACTGGGAGCTGAACAAGCTTATCCAAACAAATCAGCCAACAGAGAGAGAACTTTTGAAAAACAAGAAATTCAATTACCAATGTAGAAGAAAGTTAGGGTCACAAATTCTCCTTCCTTCTTTCTCAGTAATTATCAAGTCAAAAATGTAAAGGACATTTTCTCCCAGAAGCTATGTCCACTCTAAAGCTATTGAAATTGCTTTTCTTTACCACTTTCCACAGGGGTAATAGGCAGCATTAGATACTGATGGAAGCAGTTCTTTCCCTCCTTCTCCGTAATGCCCAAATCAATGAATGGCAACTTCGTCAAACTAGCTGGTAAAACCAGAGAGCTAAACATTTTCCTTTTCTCCTTCCTCCTCTTCACCTCACACAATCACCAAATTCCTGTCCTTTTTATTCTTGCCTGCAGCAATCAGAATCTTACACCAAGATGATAGCAATTTAACTTCTTCCAATATTGTCTTCCTTCAATCTAGAAAAATATTTTATATGCAAATCTGATTATGTAAATCTCATGTATTCCATCAAGTCAAGTGCAAGCAGTCCCTTAACTAGAGGATATCTCACCATCTCCATTTTCAGAAATATTAACTACAAACTGGTACTATCTGGTATTCCTTCTTTTTTTTTTTTTTTTTTTACAATATAACCTTTTGTTACTTCTATATTATCCATTTTTAAATAAGAATAATTATTATCATTTACTAGTATTGAAAACAGAATAGCCACAAGGCTTGTTTGCTTGTTTGATGGGGTGACATAAGTATAATCTGTTTCTGTCATATACAATTTTGAGTAAGAGATCACTGAATCTAAGTTTAATCCAATTATTTTAGGGGAGAAATGAACTGTTATAAAAGAGGTATAGTGTTTAAGACATATTGGCTAGCACTATATTTAAGACAAATCAAAATAATTACCAACAATAACCCATTTAAAAATGAAAAGGATAATACACTTCTATAAAATAAACAACAAAAAAGAGCATTACTGATATAATTCTCAGAAAGGAAAAAAAGCTTTACCTATAAACTTAAGGTGTAATATTGAACATGTAATGAATTGTTTTACACATTTTAATCCCAAACTGAGAAACACAAAGTGGACCTTTTTGAAAACTAGTTTATGATAAAAGAGTGAGCAACTAAATTTCAACTATAAAAGATCCACTTTTACAGTTTCAATAGTATACTTTAGAGGTAGGTTCAAGTTTTCTGGGTATAAAATTCTGTAGTGGCCAGATTTTTAAAGCTCCAGATACACTGGAGTTGATCGTCCAAGGATAATGATCCTACCTAAGAATTCAGAAATCAAAAGTGCTGATGCAGCAATAAGAATGGTGATGTGGCAACAACAAATGGCCAGACATGACCAGTTCCTAGTTCTTTTTCTAAATATGAGCACAAGGTACAGGCACTCCAGGCCAGCCTCCTCATCTTTCACCCAAAAATGTGAGGAAATTATCCTCAGTTGAATCTCATCTGAAGACTTAAATGTATGACAGTAAACACAAAATCTCATCCCATGTATGCCTTTTATTCTTTTTAATGACAAAACTTTCTTTTCTGTGCTTTGCACATGAGTAATTTTGTTCCCTTTTTTAAAAAAATAGAGTATAAAGAAAAAGTGAAAATCACCTGTTAATCCCATAACACAGAGGTAAACTAATCAACATTTTGGTATATATCCTTCCAAACAGTTTTCCTACACACACACACACACACACACCCCTATGCTTTTTAAAAAATGTTTTTATTGTTTTTTTCAGAGAGAGAGGAAGAGAAAGAGAGAGAGATAAAAACATCAATGTGAGAGAAATACATCAATCAGCTGCCTCCTGCACACCCCTTACTGTGGATGTGCCCTGACTGGGAATTGAACTGAGATCTCTCAGTCGGACCGATGCTCTATCCAGAGTCACACTGGCTGGGCACCCTTACACTTTTTAAACACAAACATGGGGTTAGAATATACATGCTGCTTTATAACTTCTTTCTTTACTTATAAATACATCATGTAATCTTTATCAAACTTTTAAAACTCATTATTATAATGGCTGAATATTTTATTACATTGATTAATAATAATTTGTTCAATCAATTTTATTTTTCTGACTCTTAGACTACACTTTATTACACTTTAGAGATAACTTTGTGATGAACACCTATATAACACTTTGTGCACTTTTGTTTCCTTAAAATTGCTATAAGCAGAATTTTTTTAGTCAATCCCATGTTACTCTTTTTTAAAATATATATTTTTTATTTTTTTAGGGGGAGGAAGGGTGAGAGAGAGAAAAACCGATGTGAGAGAGAAACATTGATCGCTGCCTCCTGCACATCCCCTACTGGGGATCGAGCTAGAATCCTGGGCAATATGCCCTGACCGGGAATACAACCAGGACCTCTCAATCCACTGAACCACACCGGCTAGGCCACATTTCACTCTTAAATTCAATTTAGGATAATTTGAACAAACAAAAATCTCTGCTCTTCTTTAAAGCTCTCATATAGTCATTTGTAAATCATATGACTTTATACCCAACCTTCGGCCCATTCTTTATTTCTAATTTAATATGTGGTTAACATCCATGAACTGCATCTAAATTTTTTATATTACCATTGCCAATACTAATTACACTGAGGTGAAATCTTTCTCTCCCCTCAATTTGGGAACTGATAAAAAAATTTTTTCTTTAATTATAAGATACCAGCAATAAGGTGTACCAATAATTTTATAAAAGTTTTAAAAAAAAATAACTGTATAATATTATAATAAACATGCAGATTTCAAAAACATTTAAAGGTATTTGTTAGAATTGGAAAAATAACGTAGCTATCTTTCTTCTTAGTTTCTTTGGAGTTCTACCTCTGATTGACCCTAATTATGCCCAAAGGAAAAAGCAATGTCATCTTGACATGAATTAAAAGATAGCTAAAAATGCTTTGCCACTCTTTTCCCTTTTTTTCTTTTTCCTCTTCTCATGAATCTGGGCTGGCCTTGTGACCAGCTAGGACCAACAGAATGTGACAGAAGTGATACTATGCAGAACCTAAAGAAATCAGCAGCTTCTGCTTTTGAAGTTCTTGGAACATTTCCTCTTCTAAGTCAACCATCACAAAATAAATCCAGTTACCCTGAGATCACCATGCTGTGAGGAAGCCCTAACAATCCACACAGAGAGAAAGTAGCTACTGCATGAAGCACTGAGGTGTTTGACATGTGAAAAAAGCCTTCCCGCATATTCCATCCAAAGCCAGCCACCAGCCAAATGGAGCCAAGTAATGATCCCCGATAATGTCATGTGAAGCAAAATAACTGACTGGCTGAACCTTTGCCCAAATACAATCTCATAGAATTTGGGGCAAATAAACTAGTTGTTTTAAGCACTAAATTTTGGGGTAGGCTGTTCCATAACGATAGATAACAAAAACACACCTAAATATATTTAAGCACAGGCAAGCTCTAATTGGGAAGGGTTGTGATGATGCTGTTGATATAGTTAGGGAGGTCAGGGAGGAGGGTGCCCATTTAAGTATTAAACCCAGTATTAAGGTAAGATATCTGAGGATAGAATATAATTTATGGAAGGAAGCACAGTTTTTGAGTCAAAAGAGTTCTATGATGAATAAGAGAAAACAGGTAAGAGAAAAATAAGTGCAAAGTTTTAGAAAAGTCTAAAGCATGTTCCACTAGGAAAAAAACATTTATTGTATCTTAGGTGAGCTATTTGAGGGGTACAATGTTTTCTACACAAAAAAAATCTAGCCAAGTACAAAAATAAAGTTATAAAACATAAAATTAAAACTACTTATTTTATGGACAATTCATAGCAATATTACACTTGTGAAAATAAGGGGAAAGTCAACAGCAGTTACATTAACACTAAAAGTGATCTGTCTCTATGCTCATTGCAGAAACAAAGAATCTTTGAAATATCAAGTGAAAAGAATAAAACCAATGTCTTATTTACAAAAGGTAAAAAATATTGGAATTTTTCATTGAAAACTTATTTTTCTTCCAACGATAGGCTCATTGCTAGGAACATTTGCAAATGGTTGACACAGATAGTTCTCCTAAGAAATTTCAGAGCCCGCTGAAGGCATGTCTGTTTGCCCCTTGAGTCATTGTGGCTCCTAGCATTCTTAATCATTCTAATTTCAAATCTGAGCCCTCTGAAGTTAACATCAACATTTTTGTTTCATAAAAAATACTTTCTAGGTGTTTCTTATTTCAAAAAAATAAACAAGGTTTATAACTCATGGTATATGTTCAGAATGGCATTAACATGTAGAAAATAACTTAGGGGGTGAAGGGACTGATCAAAAAAAAAAAAAAAGAGAAAGAACTCATGGACATGCGCACAACAGTGTGGTGACTGCAGGGGGAGGTGTATGGGTAGAGGTGGAGGAGGGTATGGGGGGGATAAATGGTGATAGAAAAAAATATATATATGACTAAACATTACATGGTAAAAAAAAATGAAAACAATGTCAAATAAAATTCAAAGTTATTAAGATTCAGATTTTTCTAAGAGAAAAAAATTAAGATAAAGAAATTTTAAAATATTAAGAAGGGTCCTCTTTACCTACAAATTTAAAAGTCAGCCCATTTCCTCTCAAAAGTTTCTTCTGTTCAATATTATTACAAATAATAGTATTACAGTTGCAAACTTAAAAAATATACATACACACATAAGTCCATCTCATCTTGACAGAGGAGCTGCTATGAGCTACAAAATTAGGTCTTAAACAATACCCTTCTGGATAGCCATAGTTCATGTTTAATATACTGTAGTACATTAAAAAAGAGAATCGATGATATGAATACTTTTGCTGATTGAAATTTATTAAACTTATCGACCTCATTCAGACTGAGCATTTCTATTTTTACAAGTGACAATTTCTGGGGTAGTGATGGGAATCCTAACTTATGGTTTAAAAAAAACAAGATTATTTTATTTTAAGTTCCTCTCTCTATTTCACTCCAACCATCTCAGCAAACTCTGATTTAACAGGATCTGTTTCTAAGTGGTCTCTTGCCACAGGTCACTTGGAGAGAACAGAAGAAATTAAAGGAAGAACACTTGGGGTAAAAAACTTAGAGCTAAAGGGATCTGAGAAAAATTAGGTATTAAGTAAAGGTTAAAAAGGGATGCTCCAGCACAGGAAAGTTTAGGTTTGTAGTATATAACAGGCTATCAGGAAGTTAATAGCTTAATTCTTCAAATAAGATGTCTGGGTTTGAACTCTAAATTATTAAATTATTTAATCCCAGAAACATTAATACTTCAGAAAATAAATGTCTGTAAAAAAAAAAAAAAAAAAGAGCCCTGGCCGGTTTGGCTCAGCGGTTAGAGTGTCGGCTCAGCGGTTAGAGTGTCAGCCTATGATCCAGAGAGACCCGGGTTCAGTTCCCGCTAAGAGCATGTACCTCGGTTGCAGTTTGTCCCTGGCCCTGGTTGGTCATGTGGATGGCAGCCACTCGATGTGTCCCTTTCACATCAATGTCTCTGTCTCTGTCTCTCTCTCTCCTTCTCTCTCTCTCCCATTCTATCTGAACAAAAAATGGAAAAATGTCCTGGGGTGAGGATTAAAAAAAAGAGAGAGAGAGACAACTGCCCTGGCCAGTGTGGTTCAGCCGTTAGAGTATCGGCCTGTGGACCTAAGAATCACGGGTTTGATTCCTGGTCAAGGGCATGTGCCTCAGTTGTGGGTTCAGTCCTCAGTCCAGTAGGGGTGGTTCTGGAGGCATCCAATTGATGTTTCTCTTTCCCTCCCTCCCTCCCTTACACTCTATCTAAAAATATAATCAGTGGAGGGGTGTACTCAGGTGAGGATTAAAAAAAAAGAGACAGCTCTGGCTATTTTGGCTCAGGGGTTAGAGCGCCGGCGCGCAGACCAGAGAGGCCAGGGTTCGGTTCCTACTAAGGGCATGTACCTTGGTTGCAGTTTGTCCCCGGCCCTGGTTGGGGTCATGTGGGTGGCAACCACTCAATGTGTCTCTTTCACATCGCTGTATCTCTCTCTCTCTCTCTCTTCCTCCCTCCCGCTCCATCTGAAGATAAACGCAAAAAATGTCCTTGGGTGAGGATAAAAAAAAGAGAGAGACAACTAATATACCTTAAAGTCAAAACAAAGGATTCTTGTGGTTTTTGTATCAGTTTTCCCCCTCATTCACTTGTTAGAAAACAAGGACTATCAGAAATATATTCATTTAAGGTGACTTTCTTATTATTAAAATTGGGTAGAAATAAAATAGTTAAACAAGCATAAAACTTAGCACATGCCTTGTTATTAAATAAACATACTAACATGCTGTTACTTGCTCTGCTGATTATCACACTAAAGCAATTACATCAGCAGTCTACCTGTAAAAATTTCTTCTTCATTTCATCAAAGATATTTTGTCTGCATCTCCAAAACACATCCTATGATATATAGAGAACAAAATAATCACAATTATTTCTTTAAAATACAGAGGTAAGACAGTGAAATTAGAACAATTAACCTAAAGACAAATTTTTCAAATAAAATATGTATTAAAGTATCATACTATCTAGAATTTTATTCATAAATTACATCTGTAATTTTTATCTTAGACCTCAATTACTTTTATACGGTTACTGAAAATCTGTGCTATAGTTATAAAGAATAACATTAACATGAAAAACAACCACATTTTATAGAGTGGTAGCTTAAGAACTGTGTATAAATCAGATGTTCTAAGTCACATAATACGTCCCCAGTTTTACTGAGATATAATCAACATATAACATTGTATTGGTATTAGCACAACAAGTTTAGTCAGCATCCATCATCTCATTTAGTGATGAGAACCTAACCACTATGTTGTTAGACATAGAGCCACATGGAAAGGTCATGTGTAGATGTTCCAGCCACAACTGAAATGAGATCAATGCTGGCAACCAGTATCAGCCACCATATATGTGCAGTAGAAAGCATTCAGATGATTCCAGCCCCAAGCCTTTCAGCTGCCCCAGCTGACACCTAAGAATGGAAACAAGCTGCCCTAGTCCAACTTTGTTTAAATTAACACCTGTGAGCAAAATTCACTAAGTTGGGGGGGGGCAGACTGTTATATATATAACACAAGATAATCAAAATAACAGTCAATTTCTCAATCTAGTCCCTCTCTCACCATCCTATATAAAATTACATTTCTCTTGGTGTCCTGACCTGGTAGCTCAGTTGGTTGGAATATTGTCCCTTATATCCAAAAGGATGCAGCTTCGATTCCCGGTCAGGGCATGACAGGAGGCAACCGATCCATGTTTCACCCTCATATCTCTCTCTAAAATCAATAAACATTCCCGGGTGAGGAGAAAAAAACAACAACAATCTTCTTGTTATTCTTCATTTCCCTCCCTTGCTTCAGGTTTCTACACAGTACTTATAACTACCTGATATATTTGTTTACATTTTACTTATTTATTGTCTATCTCCAAAAAAAACTTCCACTATGAGCTAAGATGAAATAGCAGACTAACTTACCCTCCCCACCTTAAACAACTAAAAATCTAGATAAAATATATATAGCAACAGTTTTCAAATATTAAACAGGCAACACAGGACAGTGATCCCTGTGAAAGCAGAAACAAACCAGATAAGCCACTTTCCAGGCTGCAGTGCTGGGAGGTAAAAGCCAGATAGAGTCCAGCAAACCTCCTGAGTTCAAGAGATGAGGTGGGGAGTTCAAGGAGGCCACTTGGCCAGAATTTACAGGGCAGAATACTGGAGAGAAGAAAGCTATGTAAATAAGTTCTAGAGATCTGTGAAGCGGTCCTCCTGTGAGTACTCATCAGCAAATGCACATAAAGTAACTATCTGAGGAAGAGGAAAGAATCCCTACAGCTCACTCACTTCAGTTTACACCATGGCAGCGGGGAGGGGGTTAAGAGGGTGGGGGGGATGGGGGGGGGGCGGACACGGGGACACATCTTATAATACACAGGACATCAGATAAGAGTACTGGGGGAAGAGTGCTATCTCAGTATTGGGACCATATTACACCTAGTCTAAAAACAACTCTGGTCCAACCTTACAAAGTTTAAAAGCAAGCCTTGAAAGGATCAAACTGTGTGTATAAGTAAATTATCCTCGAAAGGATCAAACTGTTTACCAGTAAACTGCATCCAAGAAAAAAGCTCAAGAATATTTATGGGAATAAAAAATACCCAGTAGCCTTCAAGGTAAAATTCACAATGTCTGCCATCTAATCCAAAATAAATAGGCCTGCAAAAAACAAAGCAAAACAAAACAAAAATCTGGAAACTATGACCCATAATGAGGAGAAAAATCAATCAATAAAAACCAACCCAGAAATAATACAGATGATAGAATTAGTAAACAAGAACATAGAAAGTTTATAACTATATTCTATATTTCAAGAAGGTGAAGGCCTGGGGTGGAGGGGTCAATGGGGGAAAGGGGAGAAATCTGCAATACTTTCAACAATAAATATAAATTAAAAAAAAAAAGGTAGAAAAGACTATGCTAAAGAAAAACATGGAAGACACAAAAAAGATTCATCTCAAATTTTTAGGATGAGAAGTACAACATCTGAGATAAAATATATAATGGATGGGATTAACCGATTAGGTATCATTGAAGAAAAGATTAATAAAATCTTTAAGACACAGCAATAGAAACAATTAAAAAAAAAATAAGACAGAGAGCAAAAACAAACACAGAAAGTGGGACAATTTTCTTATCAGAGGCCAGAAGGAAGTTGAACAATATTTTTCAGCTGCTTACAGAAAATAACTGCTAACCCATAATACTATAACCCCCAAAAATGTCCTTCAGGAATGACCCAAGAATGGCTTTAGTAGTCTAACAGAATTCAAGGCATTCTCAGATGAAGGAAAACTAAAAGAATTTGTTTCGCATGGCTGATGTGGCTCAGTGGTTGAGCATCAACCCATGCACCAAGAGGTCACCAGTTTGATTCGCAGTCCGGGCACGTGCTGGGGTTGCAGGCTTAATCCCCAGTAGGGGGCATGCAAAAGGTGGATGATCAATGTTGATGTTCCTCTCTCCCTTCCTATCTCCCAAAAATCAATAAAAATATATTTTAAAAATTTAAAATAAGTTTAAAAAGAATTTGTCTCCAGTAGAGCAACCCTAAAGAAAAATTTTTAAATAAAAAGGGAATAACCAAAGAAGGACCTTAGAACATCAGGAAGGAAGAATATGGCAAGCAAAATATACCTAAACACAATCTACTTCTCTCCTCCAGTTGAGTTTTTACTAAATGGCTGGCAGTTGAAGTAAAAATTGATGTGGTTACAAATGTAAGTAGAGGACATATTTAACATAATTATATTATAAGCAAGGGAGAATAAAGAGACATAAAAGGAGGTAAAGTTTCTACATTTCAGTTAAACTGGTAAAATAATGACACTAGTAGACTCTGCTAAATTGGTATATCTAATGTAATGCTCAATCAAAATCACTACAGATATATCAAAATAGAATTTTTAAAAATGTTCAAGTAACTCATGAGAAGGCAAGTAAAAGACAACAGAAAAATGGAAAACAGAAAGAACAAAAAACACAAAATAAACTAGCAGACTTAAGCTCTAACATATTAATCATTACATTAAATACAAAAGGTCTAAGTAAACCAATCAAAAGACATATATTGACAGAGTAGATTTAAAAACATGACCCAACTATATTCTGTCTCTACAAAACTTAATACACATACACATATATAATTATGTCAAATACGTGATATATTAAATGTTATATTAATTTGTATATAAAATATTTCGTGTAAAGTATTTTATATGAAAATAAAAGGATAGAGAAAATACACCATGTAATCATTAATCAAAAGAAAGCAGGAGTTAATTTTAAAACTTAATATCATATAAAGCAGACTTCAGAACAATAAAAATTATCAAAGACAGAGAGAAACATTATATAATGATAAAAGGGTCCACCCACCAAGAAAACATAGCAATCTTAAATGTGTATGAGCCGAACAATGGAGCTGTAAAATGTATGAAGCCAAAACTGGTAAAACTGAAAGAATAATTAAATAAATCTAAAATTATGGTTAGGAGATTTCAACATCTCTCTCTCTTAACAATTGCTAGAACTACTACACAGAAAACCCCAAAATACCATCAACCAACAGGATCTAATCAACATTTATAAAACATTCCAATCAAAAAGGATAAAACTTACATTCTCTTCTATTGCCCAAAGAACATATAACTGAGACAAACCACATCCTGGGCCATAAAATAAATTTCAAAAGATTAAAAGAACTGAAATCATCAGGCAAAGTGTGTTCTAAATAAATGGAGAGACATAATGTGTTCTTACAATGGAAGACTCAATCTAGTAAAGATGTCAATTTTTCCCAAATAGATATATAGTTTTAAAGCAAAGCCTATCAAAATCCCAGCAAGAATTTTTGAAGATACAGACAAGATTATTCTAAAATTTATATGAAAAGTCAAAGGGCCCTGGCCAGTTTTGCTCAGCGGTTAGAGCATTGGCCCGCAGACCAGAGAGGCCCGGGGTTCAGTTCCAGCTAGGGGCACGTACCTTGGTTGCAGTTTGTCCCTGGCCTCTGTTGGGATCGTGTGGGTGACAACCACTTGATGTGTCTCTTTCACATTGATGCCTCTCTCTCTCTCTCTTCCTCTCTCCCTCCCTCCCGCTCTATCTCAAGATAAATGCAAAAATGTACTTGGGTGAGGATTAAAAAAAGAAGAAGAAAAGGCAAAGAAATTAGAACAGCTAAAAGTAAGAAGAATCAGTCTACTCAATTTCAAGACTTATCTATACCTACAGTAATCAGGATTATGTGGTACTGGTAGAGGGAAAGATATACAGATTAATGGAAAACAACATATATCCACAAAAATATGCCGAACTGATGTCTGACTAAGTACAAAAGCAACTCAATGGAGGAAAGATAGTCTTTTCAATAAATGGTGATGGGCCCGACCTGTGTGGCTCAGTGGTTGAGCGTCAACCCTTGCACCAAGAGGTTGCCAGTTCAATTCCCAGTCAGGACACATGCCCAGGTTGTGGGCCTTATCCCCAGTTGGGAGCATGTAGGAGACGGCCAACTGACGTTCATTGATATTTTCATCTCTCTTTCCCTCTCCCTCCTCTCAAAAAAAAGAAATGGTGATGAAACAAATGGACATCCATAGGCAAAAAAAAAAAAAATAATAATAATAATAATAATAATACTCAACTTAAGCCTCTCACCTTAAACAATAATTAATTGTATATGGGTCATGAATATGAAAAATATAAAACTATAAAATTTTTAGAAAAAATATAGGAAAAAATCTCCCAGAGCTAAGGCTAGGCATAGTTCACAGACTTAACATCAAAAGCAGAATCTATAAAAGGAAAAATTAATAAATTGGATTGCATC